CGTGGCTCTGCCACGTCACCGCCGCGTCAAAATTCTACAACCCTTCAAACTTAAATTTCGATGTTTCGGACTCGTTCGGAGTCGGAAAAATACAAACCATATATGGAATCTAATTGGAAATGATATTTCGGACTCAACGGTGAAGGCGGAATTTCCATTTGAAGATTGCTTCGATGAAAAGTGGGTCCCACACCCAGTATCATTTGAGCCAGATTCCACAACTGCCATCTAAAGCCTCGGGAAGTGAACAAAGGGTCGTTCTAGACCAAAATCGATCTTCCGAAGCTAACCTAGCTGTCAGAATTTTCATCTGAGCACGACTCCCAAGAAGGTTGACCAAAGTCAACTTTTCAAGTTATAAAAATCTCCAAAACAGGGAAACGGGCCTAAATCCCAAACGAACGACCAGGCGACCGAACAGTCAGTGCCAGCAAGTCATAAAATGACTTGGGGTCGCTACAGGAATGCTCTATACGAGGAAAAGAATTCTTTAATTTAAAAATGACCTGGAGGGTCATTACAGAATTCCTGGCTCCGCCACTGATTATGACAAGACATGTATATAGAATTTTTTTTCATAAAGCTAGCAAAATTGAAATTAATTTCCCTTTTTTTTTCTTTGTGTTTTCCTTTCAAATCAATTCTGAAATGATTATATTAATAATATATAAATTAAAATTTAAAAAAAAAACAAATAAATTAATATTATTTTATAGGAATTAGAGTTGAAAAAAGAAGCTAAGGATGATACACTCCATTGAGATTACATCAATAGATAACCAAATTACACTGCTTCTTCAAAATGAAAAAGATAATATATATATATATACACACACACAACACTTTCTTAACGAGAGATATATCCGATCTAGATCACAAAGTTGAGGAATATAATTGCCCTTTGTTTCTAATAAACATTTTAAATTTTTTTACTCTTTTCCATCACAGATAGAAGGGAGGAAAGTGGATCATTTAGTCGACATAAAGGAAAGAATTGATGAAATGTTCGAAAATTTAGACAATTCATCTATTCAATCGTGTACCATGTTCAAAGTAAATGTGTGAAAACGTGAATCAAATCCAGTTGTATATACATCAAAGATGGTCTCTATTGGTTCGATTCGGTAATTTTGTTTTCGGTATTTTATGTCCAACCCTAAAGAAAGCTATGCAATATTCCCCCGTTTTAGCTCATTTTTTGCCTCATAAAAAATATAAAAATATAGTTTACTAAGTTACTTCCATTTATTAGATGTTTAATAACGGTCTAATATATACATCCTCCAGCACACACACTACCAGCCAACCCCATAGTCCTCATCCCTACACCCTCACATTCCTAGCCCCCAAGCCGACCTAATTAGTGGTTGCTTTGATTTTTTATATATATATATACAATATTCTATGCCCAATCCTAAAGAAAACTATGCAATATTCCCCCGTTTTAGCTCATTTTTTGCCTATTAAAAAATATAAAATATAGTTTAGTTATTGTTTAATAACGGTCTAATATCTACCCTCCAACACACACACTACCAGCTAACCCCATAGTGCTCATCCCTACACCCTCACATCTCTAGCCCCCAAGCCGACCTAAATAGTGGTTGCTTAGATTTTATACAAATATTTTCAAATACACATATATATATATATATATTCAACTTATTTATCAAACGTTAAAAACTAGAAGAGATACTAAAAAAATAAACATTTTTCGTCGTACCAAACACAAGTGTTCTTCTTCTTCAACTTAACTTGATAGCAAATTTAAGAATAAATGATGGCTTCAACACACACTTAAAAGTGTTATTCTACGATATGTTTCTTAAATGTAATGTCATTACACTTTATTCTATGATATTAAAGCTTTATTTAATTTATTCTATGTACTTCTCTCAAAATGTACATTATTTCATGTTAGTAATATATATAAATAGTACTCATAGAGAAGTTTATATTCTCCATCTCTTATATTTCCTTCACCTTCATAAATTTAAGAAGAAACTCAAGTACACTCCAACTAGTCCATTTTCAATTTATGAACAACAAAATCAGGTAATTTTTAAATGTTTTACGCAAAGGATTTTGCGACAATTATTTGATAGAAATAATATAAATGTCATTATATTATCTAATACTCCCTCAAATTGCCATTAATTTGGGATGCATGTCTTTTTGTAGTAATTACAGTTGAAGAAAAAGGGATGGCACACTCCATTGAGATGACCTCAATAGATGATCAAATTCCACTACTTCCTCAAACTGAAAATGATGAGGTCTCTCTCAACTATATAAAACAATTTTTTCCATTTTCTTCGATGTAATTTTAGGTCTATCTCATGGTCCTAACACATTCACTAGTCATGGTTTTATCATATGCATCGATCTTTACAATATTCATTGTGTGAATGTCATGAATTTTAACAATGAGTCTTATTATAGATAGAAGAAGGGAGGAAAGTGGATCATTTACTCGACATAAATGAAAGAATTGATGAAATGTTTGAGGATTTAGACAATTCATCTATTAAATTGTGTACGATATTTGAAGTAAATGTGTGGCTACGTGAATCAAATTTTATATTTGAAAAACTTTCTGAACTTCTCTTAACTTGGCTCTTTACTTGACTCTTAACTGGTCTTGATTTGACTCTTAACTAATCCTTGAATTGAATTATGGATTCAAGAATTAAGATTTGTGATTGGAAAGATCTCATGATGTTTAGGAATGATTCTAGATAGCTAAACATGAGAAAAGACCAAAACTCAATATTTGAAGGTGGTCTGCGACGCGGAGAGACATTTAAATTTTGCTTTTGAGAATGCCGTTTGAGTCAAGACACTCCGTGTCAGCTCTGCGACGCGGAGCTGAATTCTCAATTCTGGGCACTAGGTGCGCGACGCGCGGCCACCCCTGGATTTCGTCTGACGAAATTTCTTCTTCGTTTTCTAGTCCCAATTCACCCAAACTCGATTCTTTTTCTTAAATTACTTTTAGATACAAATACCCATCACATGTACCTAAGAACCTAACTCAAAACTGTCACGCCCCGAGCCTACACTCTGGGCGGGACCGGCACCCGGAGACCATTTCTGGCCCCAAGCGAACCCTTGGCCTGGCTTTCTTAATTCAGCGGAAACATAACCCAACAAAATAACTCAATGCATTGCAATATTACAAAACAACTTAACTTATAAAATATGGCCATAAAGGCAACTCGAATCTCAAAATAGAATATTTACATATATACATAGATACGAGACTCAAAACTAACTGACTGACTGACTGGTTGTCCATGAAGCCTCTACAATACTGAGATGGATGTTGGGACAGACCCCACAACATCCTAAT